GGCTCTCTACTGCCAACCCTGAGCAGTTCAGGTAGGGAGGTTATTACACAGCATGGAGCTGGTACAATAGCAATACTCACAACTGATAATGCAAACCCAACTAAAGAAAGAGTATCTCACATCCAGAAACTTGGGGAACTTGGCCTCTGAAGGCCAAAAGAAATTTCTGAACAACAACTGCTCTACCATTTCTTACCTGTCCTGAGGCTTTGTTTGAAACCATATCCAACTGAACACATCTTCAAGAGGTCTCATGACAGCCAGGTCTTGGTTATGTATGCCAGGTCAGCTTGTTTCTCCCCAATAAAATCACAAATAAGGGGGGGCTTGCTAGTGACCAACCTGCTGTTCAGAAGCCCACAGCCAAAAACCTGGGACTTTTAGGGTCTGTTATCTAGGGCCAGAACTCACCAACATTAAGTATCAAGGCATTCTGCCCTGTAATGGCTTGCCCTCTTGCTTCCATTCCTACCCCTACCTATACCACTGGAATTGGTTGCCCTGCCCTACAGCCCATGAGGTGGACTTCTATCCCCAGCCCTGATCTCCCACCCCCACCCCCCGCCTGTGCCTGTGTACCTGCTGTTCTAGCAGTCATACCAATTCACATAAATCATTCAATGGGTCATGAAGGAATATTTCCATGGTACTCTAGCTGTGGTCCTCACTCTCCCCAATCCTTACAATATAACACCCCCAACAAGCTGATCTCTTCTCCTGGCTAGTCAGGGAGAGGGCCTGGTCTCACACCAGATAAGAGGAAACAGACATAAAATAATCAACCACAGATCTCACCCTAGGACTTAATCCCCCACTATAGTCCTCCTGTGGTGACTATAGTACTTTAGTATATTCTAGTACTAAAGGTTTTTGTAAATAGGAGATGTCTTATTAAGGAATCTGGAATGTAGCCAACCATACCTTATTAAATCTTCCTTGAATTTGTCCTCTAGGTTCTGCTAACACATTAATTGATATTGGAATCTCCTAAGCTTGGAGATGTTTTGAAACACTGTCCATGTTTTACCATGCCTATTCTAACATTCAGTGCATTTATAGATATCATTGTAAAGTACTTTTTATTTGAAAAAACTGTTCTTTGAAATTCTTTATAAAGTTCCTTTCTGAGATCTTTTTCTTTCTTGGCTTTGGCTTTTCTTCTCAGAAATTTCCACTACTTTCTCCTTTCTTTAGCAATCTCTTCTGGCGCTCATTCTTCACAACTATATTTTGTGTAATTTTGTTCTACAATTCCTTTTATTCCTTATCAATGAGATTCAGAACTTCAAAGTGATTCATTATATTCTCTTTGAAAATGGTGGCTAGATGTTCATGATCAAATTGTGGAAATGGATTGACTTAGTTCTTCCAGTTTTGCTGACCTGCACATGTCTAGATCATGATCTTTCCATAATTAGCCTGCTCATGCCTTTGCTGTTATCTATTCTACTCCACTGAACAATAAAATACAGGCAGTCTCTTAACTTCCAAACATAACTGAGTCTGCAATCAATTGTTGTGAAGTGGGTCAACATGTGGCTGCATCCAATTTTATGATCTGCTTTGTAGTACTCATTAAGCATTGTAAATTTGCAGGATGCTGCAAATAGCTATAAATGCTAAGAGCCCAAAATGCAGTCATGTGACCATGGGGGTGTGTGGGGTGAATATCAGATCTACAAATCCAGATCATAAATTCCTTTTTTGGGTCTGTCATAACTTCAAATGGTCACTAAGGAGCCAATTGTAAGTCGTGGACTACTTATAGTTCATTTGATTTTTGTGTACCTCTTCTAGTGATGTTCTTCTTGAACATAGGCCTTATACTGATTGTTTGGAGAATGTATTACAATAAAAAATCATTGCATTGGCAGAAAGTCATTCTCCTGCTTCATTTCTTTTCCTAGGCCCATCTATCTTTCCCTCCTTATTATTGAGTCAGGTTGACTCAGCCTTCCATCCTTCTGAGGTCAGTAAAATGAGGATCCAGATTGTTGAGGGCAATATGCTGACTCTGTAAACTACTTAGAGAGGGCTGTAAAGCACTGTGGAGCAGTATATAACTCTAAGTGCTGTTGCTATTTGCTATTTCAGATTAAACATGTTCATAGAATTTGTTTACCTCTTCTGTTGCATATGCAATTGGAAATAAAATTGGAAAACCACCATATTAAAGGTTTATCTAAAAGTTATAAGTGATATCTCATTTGGTCATTGACTGAATTCTATTAAGTACTGTCTTGACTACATCCCTCCTGTCTGTGAAAGCAACTCTATCCTGTCTTTGTTTTTCATTTCCTGAATAGTAAATAGTGTGACTGTTCAATCCCAGTCAGTGGATTAAGGCCTAATATTAATGTGTGGACTTCATTTTATTCACTTGGTTGAGCTTTGCCCTGTTCATGCTTCTTAAAGTCCATGTTTCCATTGAAATTCACTTCTTTGCAGCTTTGAATTTTCTTTTTCTGCATTCACCCACTAAGCATGTTGAAGTCTTTATTTTAGCACCATAAGGACTCCAAAAGATCCTCAATCTTCTTTAGAATATCTGAATGCCGCCCAACCTGATGGGCCCATCATTTGCACTTGAACAATAAAGTTGTTTATCACTTTATCTTGTCAATTTGTGTGGTACAGGTATGGTGGATAGAGATTGAAATTAAACGGTCAACTCAGAAAGGGGGTAGGAATTAGAACCTAGAGCAGGGGTCTTCAAACTTGGCTCTTTTATGTCTTGTGGACTTCAACTCCCAGAATTCCTCAGCCAGTGTTGACATTAAAGTCCACAAGTCATAAAAGGGCCATGTTTGAAGAATCTTGACCTAGAGCCACTCTTCTTACCCAAGGCTGTCACATACTTGTGTCAGTCACGAGGATCTCATCACCTTGCAGCAATACAAAAGATCTGGAGTTAGAAAATTATAACTCTTCACATTTTGTTGATGTCTATCAGTCAGCAACCTCAGATGCATTGTGAGAGGTTAGGGATGATTGGATTGGTAGCATTTAGAAGGTCCTAGGTTTCCCAGGGTCTTTTATTCTGTCCAGAAAACTCAAGAAATATACTCTCTGATGTGAACTGAATAATTCTATAACATTTCACCTCAACCATTCCTATCTGTGCAATTTCCTATATTTTAGCTATTAGTTTTTATTTACATAATGGTTGTATTTGCACAACAAACTAAATCATAAATTAGCCCACCACATTTGTTTTTAATATGGTGTGCAAATCCAGCCCAGTATGTTGTGGAAACTCAGAAGGTTGGCTTCATTCAGTCATTGAGAAACATTGTGAAAACCAGCCAATCATTTCTTAGCAGAAAGCATATAATCACAAACCAAATCTGGTCTCTTCTAACAACTTTCCCCAGGTTCCTAATCAGTACAACCTGAAGCTGTCCTGGCTGCAGTTGATGGAAACTGTAATCAAATGCATTCAGAAGATGCCAGTTTGGGGAAGGCTAGCCAATGTGCTGCTTTCTGTCTTTGTCTCTCTTATATGTCTTTTTATAGATTTGGCTAGAAGATGACCATATTATATATTAATCTATATTAATAGATTAATATTTATTATTAATCTTGCAAGGCTATATTAATCTTGCAAGGTATATTAATCCTATCAAGCACAACAAAAAGATTTGCTACTTTCCCTAACCTTTGGTTGTTTACAAGCAATCTTTTCAGAAAGGTTGGACTATAAATTCCATCAGATCTAGCCAGCATGTTCAGTGGTGAGGAATGATTGCTTAGTGAGGAATTGGTGGGAGTTCAAAACATCTTGGGGGCATCAGGTTGAGGAATGCTGAAGTTAGAGCCTTTCTTACAGTGGGCTGGATCTGCTCTTCTTTTGAGGGAAGTGCAACCACAATCTCTGTGCAGGGCTTGGCCTGGTTACTTTGCTTCACTCTAAATATTTTTAATGGAAATGTCAATGAAAGACAGCAAAGGAGGTGGGCCACTTTGCAGACCTACATCCAAGGGCTATGCTGCTGAAACCTCTGTCAAAGCAAAGTACCCCTTGAGGCTTTACATCAGCCTGTTGAGTAACCTTCACATTAGAACCTTCTAATGTTAAACCCAAATTTTTCCCCCCACACTTGATAATCTTAAAATTACAATTAATCTGATGAGAACCTGTAACACTCCAATGGTTGCTGAATACAACATCTGGCTCAGAGTCTTACCTAGATTAGAGTGTTGGCAGCTATAGATCCATAAGTTCTGGAAGCTATAAATTCCCCTTCTTCTCAATGAAAACTGGAAGTGCTTAGTTTGGGGTGGATCATGCCACTGAGAAAAATGTTCCTTTTCTTTCTTTTTTTTAACTGATGGCAATATTTCTCCCTCCCCTTCCCCACCACCACCATTGTTCATGCCAGTTCTCACTCAGTATGATGAAACAGAAATATTTCCCAAAAAGAAAAGTGTGAAATTACCCTGGATGGAATTTAATAATGAGGTGGTCTTTCTTTGCAGCGTCTTCTGTTGTATCTGCCCTGGCTTCCCACACTTCTATTAAATATAAGGGAACTTCTGGTCAAGAAGTCAGTGTAGATTTTTGTTTCTTTCCCCTAAAATAATGGGCTCCTGAAGTTATATATTTGTGGATAAATTATATAGATAAAGGAAATGAAGTGGATAATTTCTCCACAAATATATAACTTCAGGAGCCCATTAGTACCAACTCTGTTTATCTTTCTTATAGCTGTTAACATAAGGAAGTTTGGTTCTCCAGAAACTGCTGAAATATATTTCCCAGCAATTTCTGGTACTATAGAGAATGTGAAAGTTGCTAGGAATTCAGCATTGCTAAAGGACCATAGGTTCTTCAGTCCTGCCATAACATGACAGGATTAACTTGACTGAAGCTGTTGGATTATGCAGGCAGAATCAAAGTGGGTCCTTCCTTGGAATTCAGGGTTTCGACTGAGCAGGTACTTCTGAGATGTTCATAACTCAAAACTAAATAAATACCACACATCTTTTCCATGAACATGATTTTATTGATTATTTGTAGAAATATATCTGCATAACTCTGAAACCTCAGATTAAATATCAAGGAACAAGATTGCCCAGTTGGCTACATGAACAAGAGAGTCAAAGAACATAAATAGTTTTTATGAGGAAATAAATAAAGATGTTATTTAAATCTTAGGGAAGTCAACTTTTTCACTGCCTTTCACACCTTCCACTGCAAACAACATCTATTCAGGTTGAAGAAAAGGCTGTGCATCTTAAGAGTCTAGCAATTGGGTAGGGGCGGAGTCTGATCTGGAATATTGTACTGTTGTTATAATTTACAGCTTGGCAATATTTAGCAACATCTGTGCCACCCAAAGACTGGCGGTGGTTTTCCCAGTAGCATAAGCTTGAAAGCATAGGTGACACTAAGTAAAGGAATGGGAAGAGAAGGCATCATTCTTTAAACCAGGCTTAGGCCACCTGTGGGTTCCAGATGTTGCTGAACTACAACTACCAGCATCCAGAGAAGATACGGCTTAACATAGGAAATGTTTGAAGTTGTAATTCATAACATTTGAAATGCCAAAAATAGTATACACCTATTCTGAGTTGTTCATTTTTCCCCAATTTGGTGCCCATTATATGTGTTGGGCTTCAGTTCTCATCACCATAATGGCTGATGAAATCATATTCCAACATATGTAGAAGGTGCTATGACAAGGAAGGCATTATACTATATGATTTAACCCCAAAATAGTGCATTGAATCATGACCTGGTACACAAAATCATGCTAAACCATGATTTTATTCATAGCTTATTTAGAAAGACATAATCAGCTGGATTCACATAACATATGCTGATCCATAAGTCATGGTTTTAACAACTCACCACAACTAGAAGGGATCAGACTGGTTAAATCTGTTTTAAAGGCAGTGATCTGGTAAGGTTAGATTATTCTACACAAACACCTGGCCATTTTGCTAGAGAGATGCCAATCCTTTGTCCATTAAGGAAGGACAAAGAAGTCTTGGGAAAAAAGTAGTAGTGCACAGAGCTTGCCTCCCCCTTCAATGTTATAGACAATGTGACCCTCTCTAATCTCTGAGTCACTCCTCTCTCAGACTGAGAACTGCTACCATCTGCTCAATTTGAATTCTTCCCTCCCCCTTGGAGCTCTCATCCAAATCTGATAGCTTTCAGCCACATCAATTTTGAACCTCTGGTTGGGAGAGCAGCCATGATGGCCATGGCCCTCCCTTCGCTCAGTCCCATTTTGATCCCAGTGCCATCAAAAAGAGAGGGTGGGTGAGGCAAAAATCTCTACTCTTCTGGGCTGAGGTCTCACCAACAGCCTCCATCTAGAAGGAGTTTTCCAGCTCCACTTGGTTGGCCTTGCTGCCCCTGGCCCTGGGGACCCGAGGTTTTTTGTTTTTCTGAGGACGGGTGGTCTCCTTGCTGAAGTCCTTGAGCTGAGAACGATTGTGGTAGCGAGTGTACCGTTTGCATTTGCAGGAGGTGATGATTTTGGTCTTGATAAACTGAATATCCTCACCAGGGCAGGCTAACTGGACACGTTGGAATTGACTTTGTGCTGGGATGCAGCGGTAATCCATGGCATGCTGCCGCCACCATTTCCCCTTACCAATTGAATTGGGGAGGAGATGAGTTGGTAAGCATTGGCCAGAACACACGAGCTCCTTGATTGGCTTGGTGCTGCGGCAGGGGCCACTGGTGACATAGCGGGTGGAATAGACTTCACGGCAGCCAAACTGCAGGGGTTCTATGGAGGAAGGAAAATAAATTATTTCACTGAAGCCTATTGGAGGCCTCTTACATCAAAGAAGGAGACAATCCAACTGACCTGTTTGTTTATTCAGCACACAAAATAATTCTAGCACTTCAAAAAAAAATCTAGATACTGGGAGGGAGCTTAATACTTCAAGTTGCTAGTGAATGGTTAGAATTTATCTGCAATTTGATGTGGAGAAGATTAGAAATGGATTTATGCTTTCGCAGTCTTGTGACTGGATCTTTGCAGGACCTTGGAGAGCTCTTATGGAATATAAACATTGCTCCAGCAATATTCAAAATAGGAATCCAAAGTTCTTGACAAAATATTGAAGAGGATTTAGGGCCTGGACTCTAGCATGGTGCCAGGCTTGATAATGTGCCAACCCATGTGCCAACCAATATCTTCCTTGACAGCTGTTGGCTCTTTATCTGATTACTTTAAAAAATGTTTTAATTAAAAAATTAATGAGAAAGACTGCAAAGCAAAGCACTGATCTCAGACAAAAGATACATTATCAGCCGTGTCGCTAGCTGCACCTGTACTCTAAAAACATTCTTAGAATACAAACAGGCAGCCCAATCTTTTGATTTCTGCTAAATGAGTGTTTTGTTGTTGTTTTTGGTTGGGCATATTGACCATGGCAACCATATTCCAAAAGTGCCCATAATATACTTTGATAGTTTCACAGCGCCATCTGCCCCCCAAATATTCTTTTCCCAACAAAGGTAAGAAGTCAGCCAAGGCTAGAGTGTCCTGCTAAATATCTGAAAAGTTCTACTAGTTAGCAGACTGAAATTCAAATCAATCCAGCCCCGTTTTGACTCAACACAATGTTAGGTTCTTGAAATTCAAGAATTTCCAGGATGCACAAAGACTTTAGCATCAGTGAAGTGATGGAGCACATTCTAAGCAAGCAACTCATATCTGAGCATTGACCTGCAAATATATCTATGACAGGCCCTTGATATTTTAATACTATATTTCTCAGACATTTTACTGCAATATTAGAAAAACCTCTGCTGAGATTTTTGGATTACTCTAAAAAATCCTCGTATACCAGAACATTTTGCTTCCAGCCCCACTTATTCATTAATAAAAGGAAACCCCTCAGATGGTGGAAAAAAAGAAAGAGAATGATTGCCTCCTGTATCCCAGACTTTCCAGATATTTGCTCAAACTCATTTTGGGAAGGCTAGTTTTAGCTTTCCTCCTGTGACAAAAGTAGGAAGAAGAAGACTAATCAGAGACAGATTGGAAAAGGAGAAGCAGAGATGCCAAATACCTCTGGCTATTTGGATTGACTGGGCAACTTGAAATGCCTTTAAAGAAAAGCCCCATCTAAAATACTTTCTAGAGCAAAACTTCTCAAATTCTCAACTCCCAGAATTCCTTAGCTAGCTATTCTGGCTGGGAAATTGAGGGAGTTGAAGTCCACACATACTGTTCTAGATGCCCTTTAGATATCCATCTAGCCTAGTTTGAGGCTCTACAAAGAGTCAAGAACTGAAAGTTTAATTTACCTGGAAGTTAATGTGATGGCCTTTCTCACCCATTTACGACTAAATCTAAGTACATATTCTGTATTTCACTGAAAATTGTCTCTCTATTGATTTTTTCCCCCTGCCTTTATTGTTTCTTCAGATTTGATTTAGATGTAAATGTTTTATGGCAGAGGGTTGACTCAGCCCTCTATATCATTATTATGCATGCCAAAGGAGTAGAAATTTTCCTGAACATATCTTGTTTAAATTAATATATTTAGTATTTTTGTACCATTTTTAAAGAACCAAAATAGATACAATGGTAATTGTTTGTTTTCTTTGTTCTGCTTAAGCAGTTTTGGAAATGTGGGGAACATGAGAAGATGCTTAGGATTTTTAAAGTTATTATTCCCCTTGATACCTTTTCATTATAATTGCATTTCCAGAGTTGCAGTTAGTTGCATTTAAGGAGAGAAATCCCTCTTAAATTACTGAACCTGATTTTAGATTGTTCAAACTATATGTATTTTATCTCGACAGTGCTTACAACAATTTTTAGTTACTTCTAGAAAAGAGACTGACTAAAAGTGGCATGTGGTCAACACAGGATATCTTTCATTTTTATTTCCTTCTTTTTCCTTTGTGATTTTCTCTTTCTGTAATCCATTTTCCCTTTTTGCTATCTATTTTTTCTATTTTCAATTATAATTGCATAGTTTGAATACAAGATTTTGCAAAACTTTGATAAGACTCTACATAAAACAGCAATACATTTTTGAATGGTTATAAATAAAATTCAAACAGATTTTTCTAATAACAGAATAAACTCAGGGTTCCTTTAAGCTGAGGACAAGTGTCCAAACCTATGTGACAGCATTGCAATATAAGCACTGCTCCTTATATTTGTATGTGACATTGTAATCCAAATATGGAAGGGTAGAATTTACATTAGTGTGCATATTATTCATTATTTCATTATTTTAATATAACCAGGTTACAATGACCATCTATGGCCAGTTTTACATTTAAATCCAGACATCTGTAATGGAAGGAAGGAAGGAAGGAAGGGAGGGAGGGAGGGAGGGAGGGAGGGAGGAAGGAAGGAAGGAAGGAAGGAAGGAAGGAATTAATTCTGTTTGCTGATCAATAGTGGATTAGTTGGCTCATCCTGACCTGTAGAAACCAGCCTCCTTGGAGCTTGCCATTCCCCCGGAAAAAAAAATAATAATCTTACCATGCCATACCAATCAGCTGAAAACACGGAAAGCGGGGTGGGTGGGGAGAGATTGTTTGAACTGTCTTACCCATCCTTCCCGAAGAAACCTGGGAATTCCTCCGTCCTTGCTGGGCTCGGTTGCTCGTGATTTCACTCTCGTTGTAGGCAAACGCCTCTTGCACTGGCTGCTCCGCTGCCCCAAAGGTCTTGTCCAGGAAATCTGGGATGAACTCCGTGGCATCGTTTTTAAGCACTTGCCAGCTTCGCCCAGAGGGAAGGCTGACTTGGAGAAAGAAGAGCAGGAGGCCGAAAGAAGCCAAAGCTCGGAAGATCGGCATGTCAGCGGGAGAGCAGGTGCGTCCGGCAGTCTTCTGGCTTCCTGAGCTGACGAACCTTATTTATCCTTTTTAAATTCCTTCGAAGAAAGCGGCTAGCCAATGACGGGGAGAGGGACGGTCCAGGAGAAGTGGGCGGGCTCAATTGGGCCAGTGCGTTTGCAGAGACCCAAGAATTCGGGTGACAAAAGTAATGGGGGGGAGGAGGTGGGCGGGCGCTGAGTGTCTACAAAAAGTATAGGTCTTTGGATATTTCCTAGGGTCTTTTCCCACAAAGACATGTTTTTAAAGAAATATTTCACTCTTTTCCTCTGTTTTCAAACACATTTCTGATTGACTCATCTTTGGTCAAAGGGCCAGTTGCAAAATCTCATTCCTTCTGATTAAAAAACAACAACCCATTTCTATAACTATGCCCTATAGAAATTCCATCTGGGTGGAAAAGAGGCGAGAGACTAGGTGATTAAAAACGTTGATTGTTGATTCAGTTAGTTGATTTGATTGTGTTCAACTCAAGAGGGCATGCATAAGATGCCCTCCTGCTTTTCTTACAACATCCATGTGAGGCGAGGTGGCTAGGCTAAGAGAAAGTGACTAGTCCAAAGTGATCCAGCCAGCTTCCATACCTAAGGGAGAACTGAAGCTCAGGGTCTCTGGTCCTGCACCTTACCCACTACACTAAATGGGCTCTTAATGTAAAAGTCCAGTCTATCTCGTATAGCTTCCTTCTGTTCCCCATAGTGATCAACTAAATATTTTCAGAAATTTCACCATTAAGAAGGCAACCATGACTGCAGGCAAGTTCTTCTTTCCCTACATCATGGCTCTGACCTCCCAATTCTGATCTTGGAGGAAGAGGTTCCATGGGGCAATTATGGACTGTGAGGGACACATCGGTTGCATCATGAGACAAGAACAACATTGCATTCTCTCTTCATACCAAGCATAATTTGAAAAGTCTTATCCTGTCTATCTAGGCATATTTTTTCTTTACCAGTCTTCCATCCCTAACCTATCATGGTGGGTTGGATTTCAAAATCTAACTGACCACGATGCCTGTGAATGATGACTCATGATATCCAACACATCTGAAAGACTTCAGGGACAAATACACTATTTTAAGGCAATATTCTAGTGTAGGTAAAAATAAATCCAGGTATTTTCTAGAATCTTTTCTATTATTTCATTTGTTCTACATGTGCTCCTTTCTACATTGCTTGCATGTATCCATACTTTTTACTTGTAATATTTGGAGCTTGGCCTTCTTATTTTGTAATTGTTCTGAATATAGGCAGTATTTGTCAAATTATACCTGTACTCAACCTGATTGCTGTGCTTACCAAAATAAATAAGAAACCATAGCTATTTTTTTTTAACTGAACACATTCATATCCTACATTCTGAAGGACTGTTGTTGCTGGGAGGATGAGAAGAAGTTATACAATCAGATTTTCTTGGCTTGGGGTAATATATGGATGCCACAAAAAATGGACTTGCTTAGTTAATTGCTTATCTTGTTTAACTAAAGTGATATTTTAACTAAAACTAAACTAAGGAGATATTTAACTCTTGTTTAACTAAAGACAACACTATCAAACTCAAACTTAAAACTCACAGCTTTCCTTAGGAAAAGAAATCAAGTGTTTTGCACATTTACTTTCCAAGTCAGATCATATATCAAAAGAATAATTGTGAAATAAACATAGTTCGCATCTTTTGAAATAAATATCTCATCTGATTGCCACAACATTGATTTTCTTCTACATGTTGCTGCTGTTTGAGGTGTTATGAAATGTTCCACATTTTGGAAAATTATCCACATCTCAAACATTTAAATAGCAATGCACGAAGTTAGCTGACCATCAGTAAGGTTTGCAGAAATGCTTCTGCAAAGAAGGGAATAAAAAGAGCTATCACCATCTTGATCAATGTTTGCTTATATCTGACAGGCTTAGATTGTCATGTCCATGAATCAGTCACATAGGCAGATATGGTCTTTTAAGGGTGCAGTTTTGGGCATCCAGATGAAGTCCATGCTCTCCATGTCCTCAGCACCCATTTAACTTATGACTTCAATCTTAACTCCCTCATAGATCATGTAAAATAGGTTTCTTAAAAATTATGAATAGGTTTTGATTGTACTAATGAAGACTAAAGATGCATTCTTTAAAAAAAACCTAAGATATGTACGTTGGTTAGGTGGGATAAGAATGGTAATATTTTCTCATAATATTTTTTTTCTCTAAAACCAAGTACTATAACATTAGAAACAACCACAACTGTGGCTTTAAAGCAGTGCTGGCTGGGAGTTGAAGTTAAAGTTGTCAGCTTTGAAAATCACTGCTTTAGATAGCAAATCTGAGTTTAGGAAATGCATCTGCCCTCTTCCCTCAGAAACAAAATATGTGTTTTCCCTCTCTTGTTTCCATTTTTTATTCTTGGGTCTCTATCATCTAATTTCAAATTATAAAGTCACTTTATTCCCAGATGAGATTCTAAAATCTCATTTTATTCCATTTTTCACTTCTGCATTCTCAGACTGATATAAATTCTAGTTTCCCCCCTCCCCCCATGTTTATTTATGTGAACTTGTCCTTCACCCCTATCCCTGATTTTTCTATTTTCTCTGGGGAATGGGAAGGAATTTGTTCAATTCCAAGCAGGAAATCATCCACTGATACAAAGTATTACCAGCCAGCTTAAACAAACATATCCTCACCACTGTTTCCGCTCCCTTTTTTCAGTAAGTATTGCAGATTTACAATTATGGAGGAATTATGAAGTCTGAACAAGGAAGAAGTACTTCATTTCTCTCCTTCCCTCTTTTTCTGCCAACCTCCTCTGATGTACATATATGTATTTAATGCATACAAACAAAAAATTGATTTGCTTGATTTTAGTTAAGTAGTATGTATGAAGTTAGCCATTGTGAGTTATGATGCATGATTTATGACTTGGCTCATATGCACGTACATATACATGTGTATACAACAGGAGTTGCAACAATACACAGTTAGATGAAAACAGCTGCAAAACAAGCCAAGCAATTCCAGGTTGCATCAACAGAAGTATACTATTGAATCCAAGAAAAGTCATTATTCCTCTCAGTATTGCATTGATCAGACCACATCGCCATATTGCATCCATATTTTTGGAAAGCCATGGAAAAACTGGAATGTATCAAACCGCAGCTAGGATGAGGTTCGGTCTAGAAGGAAGAAATTATGAAGGGAGTTTGGAGACACTAGGATATTTAGTATAAGACAGGAGACAAGATGGCTTTCTTCAAGTATTTGAAGGGTTACCATGTAGAAAAATAGACTTGTCAGAATTGTTCCAGAAGACATGACAAGAAACAATGGGATTGAATTACAATAAAGTAGATTTTCGTGACATCTGGAAAAAATTCCTAATAGTAAGACAATAATGGAACAAAATACATCCAGCAATGGTAAACTCTCCTTCACATGAGATATTTAAACAAAATTGGATGGCCAATTACTCCTTGCGTTTTCACTATGACCAGCAAGCAGAGCAAAAGAAGAAGAAAAGATACAGTGGCTTGCCAACTCCACTGGTCACCCCAGACAATGAACAAGATGCAAAACCTTTATTTTTGAAAGATAGCAAATCTCTGAGTCAAGAGAGAAAAGACACAAGGAGTAATTGGTCCTCTTTAATTTCACCCCAAATGGGGCGACATTTTCTTCTCCACTTGGTGACGCTTGGTCCATTTTTTTTGAACCAACATTCTGTTGTGTTTCCATTGTTGACGAAATCTCTGATGGGGAGAGTTCTTTATTTGGAGAATACGGGAGACTTGCAACAAGAAAAGAGGAGAGATCTTTGGCAAACTTATATCCCTCAGTATTACCTGCTACTTCCTGTCGCCCTCTGATTTTCCCTGGTGAAGTTCCTACATTCTTTGTACCAACCGGTGACTCTGTTTGGACTGCCTCGTTGTCTGAATGTGGAGTGGATGGACTCAACTGCACTGCTGCATTTTCTGCTTTGGGAGCAGTTTTATTCCCTGCAGCTGTACTGGTTTTGGACATTTCTGAAAACTTCTGCCATGCAGGAGTTATAGAAAACTTTGCATTTGCAGACAACTTTGTTTAAATAGACATCAGGAATGCTATATATACATTTTCCTTTGTTAACCAAAACAACTTGTCAGAAAGTCTTTTTCACCCAATGTAGGTAAAACCTTACAAAAGTCATTTAAATGTCCTGCTTGTGAATGGGTAATGGATTTGTGTGTAGTTACCCAAAGAAAAGCCACTTTACCAAATTTTTAACAATTAACCCAGGTTTGGAACTGTTGGGCTACATGTGTCCCATGATTCTTTATAGGTATATGAATATATTGTATGATCCCAGTAATTCTGAAGTAAGACAATAACTGTAAAGAAACAAAATGATGCTTGAAAAACTGGTGATACCAAAATGCAAGCCATAGCTTTGACAGTGATAAAAAGATGCTGGAAAATGTAACATAAGCAATATTTAGAAGGTCATAGGAGCCCCATCTAAAGAGAGCACAGTGTCTCGTATCTATATTTGATAGAAAACTGTTGATATTCAAGGGAGCGAAATATAGTTTAGTCTATGTGGAAGCGCCTGGAGATTCTGAAGGAGTCAAAACTTGCCCTCAACACTAGTTGTGCAAGTCATAGTCAAGTTTGTCCATAATCATGATTCTCTGAATGACAGCTGTGCAAGCACAGGATTTTAACCACTATATAAACATATCCAGGCTTGGTTTTACTAGCCTATGAATCAAATCAAAGGGGAGGGGAGAGGTGGGGAGGAGAGGAGAGGAGAGGAGAGGAAAGGAAAAAGAAAGAGAAAAGGAAAGGAAATGAACAATTTCTAAAAGTACCAAGGTGGTTTGACAATCAGTGCCTATTAAGATCTGATGTGTCACAACACAGCAGGCAAAACTGTTCTTTTTAAAATGAATTAGTGTTGAATTCTATAATATAACTCTCAGATCTGTTTGGGGGACGTTACCTGCCCCAGTATTAAATTTTCTCATGGGATCTCCTCTGAACTGTACTACTAGAAGAGATATATTATGTGGAAAAGTGAAACAGGCCTTCCTTAGCTTTGGCACACCAGTAAAAATCTCCCCTTGCCACGAAGGCCATAATTTGGGATATCGGTGACAGAACTCCAACTGTTTTCATGTAGATTATTTTCATTCTTTTCTTCTTTGAAGTGATTTGATCATGATCTGAATGCTATCCATCCCTCCATATTGTAGGAATAAAGATGGGTTTCTTTGGGAAAAGAGAAAGCCCATCTAAAAGAGTCAGGAGATATTTTAGCTGCTTCAACTTCTGTTCTATCTGTGAACTCAGAGCAAAAGCACACAAAGGCCTCCTTGGATGCAATTATGGAATCTTAAGTTGGAAAGACTTAAGAGGTCATTAAATTATTGCCCTGCACACTACAGGTTTCACCACACCATATTCAATATATGACTATCCAGCCAATCACTGAGGTCTCCAAATACTGCTAGCAGTTCATACCTCCTATTGCTACAGATGGGCTATTTTGTCTATATGCCCACCCTCACCCCCATTATGGAATATGGTGCTCAACTTATCCACACAACCTTCAGTTTTGAAAAAGTTGCACACCCCTGATTTAAATAAACTGTGCCAGTCTTCAGAGCATACACTCAAACCATCTACTGCACTTGCCAGATGGAAAGGTGTAATTGAATATAAGAAAATGCCCCCAGGAATAAATTAGAAGAAATACATATGTTCATAATCCCATACAATGCCCAACTTGCTTAATTAACCAAGCTAAAAACAAACCTAGAGACTTCAAATATACCCCAACATAGCGGTGTGTGTATGACTTGCATACATAGGAATATCTCCTAAGATCTTATTTTGATGAAACTGTTGTTGTTGTTGTTAGTTGCAAAGTCATGTCCGACCCATCGTGTCCCCATGGACAATGTTCTTCCAGGCTTTCCTGTCCTCTGCCATATTCTGGAGTCCATTTAAGCTCACGCCTACTGCTTCAGTGACTCCATCCAGCCACCTCATTCTCTGTCGTCCCCTTCTTCTATTGCCCTCAATCTTTCCCAGCATTAGGCCCTTCTCCAGTGAGTCCTTCCTTCTCATTAGGTGGCCAAAGTATTTGAGTTTCAACTTCAGGATCTGGCCTTCTAAAGAGCAGTCGGGGTTGATCTCTTCTAGGACTGACCGGTTTGAACGCCTTGCAGTCCAAGGGACTCGCAGGAGTCTTCTCCAGCACCATAGTTCAAAGACCTCAATTCTTTGGCACTCAGCCTTTCTTACGGTCCAACTTTCACAGCCATACATTGCAACTGGGAAAACCATGGCCTGGACTATACGCACTTTTGTTGGCAGGGTGATGTCTCTGCTTTTTAGTATGCTGTCTAGATTTGCCATAGCTTTCCTCTCCAGGAGCAAGTGTCTTTTAATTTCTTGGCTGCAGTCCCCATCTGCGGTGATCTTGGAGCCCAGGAAAGTAAAATCTGTCACTACCTCCATTTCCTCCCCATCTATTTGCCAGGAATTGAGAGGGCCAGATGCCATGATTTTGGTTTTCTTAATGTTGAGTTTCAAGCCAACTTTTGCACTCTCCTTCTTCACCTGCATCAAGAGGCTCTTTAGTTCCTCTTCACTTTCTGCCATTAGAGTGGTATCATCTGCATATCTTAAGTTGTTGATATTTCTCCTTGCAATCTTAATTCCAACTTTTGATTCATCTAGCTCTGCCTTTCTCATGATGTGCTCTGCATATAAGTTAAATAGGCAGGGCGACAGTATACAGCCTTGCCAGACTCCTTTTCCAATTTTAAGCCAATCAGTGGTTCCGTGTCCAGTTCTCATTGCTGCTTCTTGACCTGCATATAGGTTTCTCAAGAGACAAATAAGATGGTCTGGTACTCACATCTCTTTAAAAACTTGCCACAATTTGTTGTGATCTACCCAATCAATGGCTTTAGCATAGTCAATGAAGCAGAAGTAGATGTTTTTCTGGAACTCCCTAGCTTTCTCCATGATACAGCATATGTTGGCAATTTGATCTCTAGTTCCTCTGCCTCTTGATGAAACTAGACTGATTATTTTAACATTCTAAGGTAGCCATCTTGATCTCAGCCAAAGAGTGCTGAAATATAGTCTTATTTTTTGTCAATATTACCATTTTATTTATTTATTCATTTACAATACTTAAATTCCACTGACTTCATATCAATGGATTTATTTGTAAATATGAATTAAATCCATAAAAATAATTTACAAAGCAAAAAACCAAATGTATTAACAATTAAACCTTGCCATGCAAATTGCAGCAAATGTGTCTAAGAATGCTTGAAATTAATTAAAAGCTGTGCAGAAAAGTTCCATCTTGACTGCCTTTCTAAATGCCACCAGAAAGGCATCAACTATATCTCCATGGTGTAGCTGTTCCAAAAGATTGAGCATATACTGAGAACCATTGTGTTTTTAGTCCTCCCAGACAAATCTCACCTGGAAGTGGGAAGTTCAACATACCAATTGGAACAATTGTCCTGGATGGATCAAATATTCAGGTCCCAGTTCACAATAAAGGATTTTATAAGTTAAAACTAGTACTTTGAATGGTATTTGGAAGCTTTTGGTAAATAATTCATGCAGCATCCAAAATATTTGATGAGGTTCTCATTCTTCAGAAGGTGGGACCCTGTTAACAGATGACTGGTTGAGGAAGATGATAGAATTGGTTAAGGGCCAAGTTGACTTGGCCCTTAACCAATATTGACAATGTCAATATTTATTGGTGACTGGAAACCTTTATGAACTTTTTGCGTAAATAAAACAGAAATATGTAAATGTATGGTTCTGATGATTAGATAGGATAGATAGACTTTATAGAAAGAAAGATAGGCTATATTATAGAAAGAAGACAGTCATGATGTGATTTCAGAAAAAGAGGTAAATTTATATTTTGTATGCTATAAAGAAGATTGAAAGCCACACCTTTGTATCTTCTTTCTTCTCTATTTTTCTCCCACATCTTCTTTCTTGCACTTTTAGCTCTCTCCTTGATTTCTTTTTATTTTTTCTTCCTTATTCTATATTAGCTTGTATTGGAACTTTGGTTTTTAAAACTTTTTATTCTATATGTGTGACTGTGTGAATGAAGAAGTTGGGGCCTGCTTTCTGCACTAATTGCAGCTTCCACGTAGTCTTCAAAGGGAGCCCCATATAGAGTACATGTTAGTAGTCTATTCCTCCTTATGTCAAGTTTGTCTCCATTCAGTCTGTTAAATGGAAAAGGGTCAGTTTGAGTGACTTGAGGTATATAACAGGCTAGCACAGTGATGGTGAACTTTTTAGAGACCGAATGCCCAAACTGCAACCCAAAACCCACTTATGCATCGTCAGGTGCTGGGTGGGTGTAGCTCACTGGGTGGGCATGGCCAATTGGATGGGTGTGGCTATAGTGGTAACAGCAGACTGGGTGGGACTAAAAAGTTCAATCAATCAATTCCAACTTTGCAAGATCTTTTTTTCCCCCGTGAGAAGTTGAAATTGACTGATTGAACTTTTTTTTTTTGTACACGGCGGCGAAGACCTAAAACAAAAAGGTTTTATAAAACCCAGCTGAAGGCCTAGGACTGAGGCAATGGCACACATGCCCACAGAGGGCTCTGAGTTCCACCTCTGGCACCTGTGCCATAGGTTCACCACCACTGGGCTAGCAGGCTACTTTCTATTTTGAAATAAAATCTAGCCAGCTCTTTCATCACCAGATGACTACAAGTCCCAGGATTCCCTGCCTGTATGGTCAAGACATACGTCTGGAGATTTTTTGAAGCAGAAGGGCTTCGAAGCAAAGAAGGGTAGTGTCAGAAGACTCAGCTATCCAAAGGGTCATTTGTATCTATATGAATTTACCTTCACCTTTACCATTACTCCTAGTAGCTTTGCTTCCATCTTTTGCTGACAAAAAATGAACCATACTTTCAAGAATAAGATTTTTGTCTAGGTAATTTCTTCTCCATCCCCAGCAACCTCGCTCTAATTTTTCTCCAGCTCTGTGACAGTTGGTTGCAAGAACTCTTTATTTATTTAAGCTGATGTGCTCTTACCTGTTTGGTTCTTTAGCTACCGTGATTGGTGCTGCATCTGCCTTTTAACTGTTTAAAGTTTTGGTAGGAAGACAAAAGAAAAATGATTTGATAATGATGGTGGTGGAGTCCTAGCTGGAAAGTAAGATGTCAGGAGAGAGGGACATACAGACAGGCAAATGTGTTTTCTGGCTTGGGGTATAATCGTGACAAATGGCAAAGCAAAAAGATGGCAAGAAAAGGCTGATAAGTAGATCATCAAAGGCAGCATTTATGTACAATAGTGAAAATAAGACTGCAGTGAAAGGAAAGAACTGCTAAGTGGGTGAAAGAAATGCTGGGTCCATCTTTTAGGCCAAGAAAAGGCCTTTGGCACCATCTGGTGTCAAAAATCTAGTAATTGCAAAAGACAGTGGCTTAACACAGGAAAGGGGTGGTAGGAATAGCAGCAACCAGGATTTTTTTACAAGGCTATTTAATTTATTTCAATGGTTTTCCTTTCCTCAAAGTCACTGGAAAAATATCTTCATCAAACTGTATTTTGGCCTGCAGTTCCCATATTCTCTAATCATTATTCTACTACACAAAGGCCTTGCTTGTGCTTTGCATGGCTTTATCTAAGTCAGTGCTTCTCAACGTTTGTGTGACGGCGACCCCCGTCACACAAACGTGCCGCGCATGCGCAGCACCGCCCCATGTGCCGCCCCCATGCACGGCGCCCCCCCATGCGCGGCGTGCATGCGCGGCGCCGCCCCCAAGGGGGGAAAATGGCGGATCGCCTTGTTTGGCGACCCCCGAGAAATGGTCAATCGACCCCAAATGGGGTCACGACCCATAGGTTGAGAACCGCTGATCTAAGTGAATTGGGCAAATCCAGTCCTTGCAGTTTATAAATTAGTTTATGGTAAAATATGCTAGATAAATTCAGCTCATGTGATTAGTTTAACAATAAACAAACCATTCCTTGTTAAAAATTAGTCTACAAACATCCCTTCTATGGCCCTTAGAACTTATCAAATGAAGAACATCTACATTTGAGCTCTTTTTTTAAAATATTTCCATAATTGGGTGAATTATGGAAGAAATCATATCAAAGTTTAATGAAACTAATGCATCCATCTTTATAACTTTAGTTTAAATAGGATATTTTAATAAATAAAATAGGAAACTAATCCTTGAAATTCCCTTGTTACCTACATTTACTTCTTCACGAGTATGCCATTTATCCCTTGCCAATGATAGACAAGCTTCCTAAAGACTTCATGAGATAATTTCACATTTTGTGAAGTTTTGTCCCCAAACTCCTTTCCACCTTTTCATTTGGGTGACAATAATCATGACAATATTTTTAAAATTTTGGGAAAAGGTGGAAGTTGCATAGAACTAAATCTGGGCTATACGGTGGATGGACTAAGCTGATTCAACTTTACAACTTACCTCTTATGAAATATGAGGCCCAATATTGTTGTGGTACAGCAACATTTCTTGTTAAACTCTGCTTGTTATTTCAAAATTTTGAGTGTTGCAATACGCACTATGAATTGATAGTAGTGCCAAGTTTAAAGGCATCCATGTGGACAATATTCCCCCCCAAAATGTGAGATTTCCTGATGCAAGCTAGGTTTCCACCCACCCTATACATGAAGCTCTATGATGGATTTAATATTTATTTCTGGCTCATAATTGTGAGATCCATGTTTCTCTGGTTGTCACAATGCTATGAGGAAATGCCTCACTTTCATTTTTATAGCATGTCAACAATGCTTGTAAATTTCCCCATTGAAGTCTTCACCTTTGAATATTGAGGAAAATCTATAATGTAGCCCACATATTCTTGTGAAATGCCAAATTTAACAGCAATTTCCCTCTTTCAATCTCACTTTATAGGATTTAGTTTGTACTCCTGATCATCCCCATCACTGTTCTCTGAATTAGTAACTCTGGACACATAGAGGTCTCAGGTTTTGGTCTAAGCAAAAGAGAATAAAACAGAATATTCTATTTTTATTATTATTTCCCAAATTTCTTAAGATGTTGATGCATTCTAAAATTGCACCTGACTTTTTTTTTTAAATGAATGTCATATGACTTATAGATGCCAGGACTCCTGGTTCAGACTGATGACTGATACATGAACCAGGTTATAATTTTGCCAACTCATGCTAATCCAACTCATCGTTTTGTGCTTTCCCTATGATGTTTAAAAGGAAAAGGAGCTAAATTGCTCTTTATCAAAGGCATCCGGGTTTTTCTCCAGGACAAGAGCTACACTTAATTTTTGTATAACACATCTCCCCTAACAAAATATAGTGGAAAAATTGAATCCAATTTATTTTACAGGTAGTCTTCCACTTATGACTACAATCAGGACTGGAACCTCTATTGTTAAGCAAGGTGGTTATTAAATGAATCGCATCCAATTTTACAACCTTTTTTGCCATGATTAAGTGAATCAAATAGTCATTAAGTGAATCCAGCTTCGCACTGGTTTTGCTTGTTGGAAGCTGTCTAGGAATGTCACAAATTATGACCACATTACCCCAGAACACTGTAACCATTGTAACTACATGCTAGTTGCCAAGCACCCAAATTTTGATTGTGTAATTGATGGGACACTGCGATGGTGTACAAGGAATTACCATAAGTCATTTTTAATACCTTTGTGATGTTGAACAGCCACGAAATAAATTATTGTAATTCAAGGACTACTTGTACTTACTTCAACATAATTAGAATTAAACATGGTCATCATGATTACTCTCCAGGTGTATTCAATAATTTTCTTCTGTATTGCAACATTAAATCAGGTAACAATTTCTGAAAGCCTACGCTCAAAATCTTTGAATGGAAAATTGTATATAGAGCTGGAGCCACAGGGAAAGCACCTTTAGTCTGCTGATTGTCACATAAATACCAAGTAGCTGTTCATAAGATATATTGTGTCCTCCTCTAGCCTAGCTGGAAATCCTTTTACATTGGAAGAACGATGCCATCAAGTGGATATTTGGAAACTGCATTTAGAGTGACTTAGGCCTAAGTAAAGAATCGCTGGAAAGAAAAGCTTAGAGACACAACAGCAGCAGGGATTCCTCACCTCACCCACTATTGTACTGTTCTTTAATCTATTCTAAAGCAAATATGTATAGAAATGCTTGACAATGTAGTATCACAGTGCATCAGCACATTCACAGAAATTTCTGTGGTGCCACCAGTCTCTTATTCCACAGGAATTCATTGTTAAGTATTAATTTAAGGGGGAAAGAGAAGGGTCAGACATGATAAGGATGCAAAGCTGCTGAAAGTTGCCTGAACAGTGAGATGGGCAGCAAATAAATTTGATAAACAAATAAAGCAAGGGTTCTGCATTCCAGGAATGCCTCTTGGCCCACCAAACCCACTTGCAGTATAAAAATGCTGGATAGCTGTAGTCTGGTACTTTGCTTCCCTGACAAGAGGGAAGAGGCAGAGAACATCTCAAGAGCCAGTTTGGTATGGTGGTTAAGGCATCAGACTAGAAACAGAGAGAAAGTAAGTTCTAGTTTCATCTTAGGCATGAAGACTGTTGGGTGACAGTGGGCCAGTCACTCTCTCTGACTTTTAGGAAACAGGCAATGGCAAACCACTTCTGAAAACCTTGCTTAAAAAGCTGCAGGGAAAATTCTAGGCAGTTGTCCAGAGTCAAAAACCAATTTGAAGGCATAGCACAGGGAGTGAATATCCTGAGCAATTACGTTAAAATGGGTATTCTGTGCTTAGCACCTATTCTTTGAGTAAGCTTTCTGACCTATGGGAATCTTGGAGCACCAAAGGCATACATCAAAATTGCGAACAAAGTAACTAGGCATGGAGAGAAGCTTCTTAAATACTGCAGCATTTTCCATATCCTTCCTTTCCTTTATAAGGAATGCGCTTACCAGGCAGAAATTTAGGGAATACCTTGTAATTCAAGAAATCTATACAAGATGCTGCTGCTTTGTTTTTTTACTTCTCATACACTGTCACAAATACACACACTTCCTCTACCCTCTTTTCACGGTCTCTTTTCACACTGCTTGGAAATTGCTTAAATCCAGGCTTGGGACATGACTAAAACTTACCGTAAGTGAAAAGCAACCTGAATATCCCTTAAGAAATAGTAGAACATCCACTTAAACCTGAAATCTTTGGTTTTCAGATGCTAGCAGCATTTTAATTTGTGCATTCTCAGTATGTACGATCCAGACCAGATGCCCTCCAGGGGCCCCTCAATTAACAGTACCATCTTTGGAGACCCAGTGGCATTTGCCCTCTTAATGAGCCCCCCCCCAAGATCTATATGATTCCCACCCCAATTATTTGCAGAAAGCTTGAAGAGCTATTTATCCAGGCCTTGGGATAGGCTTAGTGAGACTACCATTTCTGATATTTTATGATTGCCTTGTTTCTGGATTTTTATCTTGTGATTATTTTATAGTTATTTTCTTACTTTGATTGATCTTTTGAATTCTGTTTTCCTGTCATTTATTGTTTAGAGCTGCCTAGAATTAGCTTGGATTGAGTAGCATGATAAACAAGCCTATGAATGCAGCAGATAAATTTATTATAAATGCACCCTTTCTTACAAAGACCTACAAAAACTTACGATGCAATTACATTTGCTTAGGAATAAAGAGCACAAGGACTTTTCCTGTGTCACAATTCAGTCTATGGAAAGGAAAGTAAGTGGAAGAGCTGCAACATACAATCCATGTCAAGTAGTCTGAATTTTCCTGTTTTGAAAGGAAGGTGTTTAGAGTTGGGGGGAGTCGTGACACAATCACCCCAAATGCTGAGAAGTTTCAATCTTTTTTCCCTTCAATGAACTGCACCAGGTCTCACTGCCTTGCTCAGGGTTTCTCAACCAGGGTCACAAGGAACCCCAGGATTCCAGGAGAGGTCACTAGGGCTTCCCTGGGAAATCTTGATTTTTTAAAAGCAGAGACTGATAAAAACGACAACCTCCAACACTGGGTTGGCCTGCTGGAGCCTGTGCAAACCCTGGGTGTCATTGTGGAGGAGGAAAAAGAAGCAGGAGGTGATGAGAGAAGCGTGCACGAGATACTGCTGCAGCCTCCCTGCTGAGTTTCCTGTTTGCACATGTAGTAGTCTGGGAAGCTTCATTTCAGGAGATCTGGCATGGGCACCAGGGGCAGCAAGAGACACTCATAAAGGTGAGGAGGGGAAGGAAGTAGGGAAAAGGAAAAGTGGTAGTTGTGGTGGTGAAGACTTCGACATCCAGGTGGCAAGATTTCAGGAGAGACTGAGAAGTCCAAATATTAATGTTAGGGGGAGAAGTGTTGGGAGGTTGCAAGCCATCAGCCCCCCTCTAGTTTTGCAAAGGGATTCTTGGGAGAGGAGATAGGAAACGAGGAAAAGCTGGATTTAGGGAACAAGTATAATTTTGTTAACTTCTTGCCTATATTTGAAACTGAATGTGCGGGGGTTTCCCAAGGCATGAAAAATATTTCAAGGGTTCCTCCTGGTACAAAATGCTTTGTGTGTTGTGGGCTGGCCCAATGTAATCTAAGGAGTAGTTTCCTAAGAGCATTATTTTGAGAACTTAAAATGCCTCCTTCTACTGCAAAATAAAGGCAAACATTTCCACTTTCCCTGAAGTTTCCTTGAACAGTCCAGCAAATTCCAGACAAGGCAGGCATTGAATGCCACAGTCAGTTTTATTGAACATTTGTGGATTATCTCCCCTCTTAACAAATGATAAATATCACAACACATTAAAAAAAAAAATAAAGATGCTTCAGAGAAGTTATTCCATTTCCTTTCATTATTGAGCATCTCCTGGCTGTTTGACCCCTTTTCTTAATATAACAATCAATTTGTAATCATAGCAATGCAGGGTCTCAAGAACAAGGAGCACACCATATCTTCTGCCACCAAAACCTCACATACAGAACCTCTAAGCCATGGGCTCCCTTAATAAATTTATTCCTGTCGTGTTTCTTTGGGGAGAGGGAAGGTTTGAACTCACATCCTTGCACATAATTATTTTAATTTTAATTACAGGTTATTAATTGGAATACTGCAATACAACCACCTCCAATTTTGTAGCCTCCACAGAGTTGTGGCTTCCATCATCCTCTGGGAAAAGAGGATTAATAAGAGTTGCAGATACAGAGGATTGCAAATTTCATTGTTTTTAGTCAAGAAATTTGTAAGCATTTTTTTCCCCCTGCTTTTGGTGAAGAATGGCAAACTGATGTTCTATAGACAGCAGGAAACAAAAGGCAGCTGGATGCAGAGTCTGAATTGCTGAAAATTCTCCCCCAATCAAGAAGACATCTTGAGATTACCCAGATATATTCTAGACAGCTGAAGACTTTTGAGTAAATGGCAAGGAGTGATGTTTTTGCAGCCTCTTGTAGTTTGTAATACTTGTAATTTCGGATAACTCTTACTGGATTTTTGTTGATTAATATGGAGAAATGAGGTTTAAGAGAAGGGTTTATAGAGAATGGAATGAGATGGTGCTTAGGTGTATTTTAAGAGATAAACTTGTTAATGTTGATTATATCTGCTGGAGATGAAAGGGGAGATTTCTTTTTCAATATTTTTTTACTCTTTGTAAATTTTTATTTTTTTAATGTATTTCTGTACTATGTACTTGTATTAGTTTTATCAGCATATCATCTTTAATAAAATTATTGAAAAAAATAGAAATTTGTCAGCAACTTTTTGAAGCAACAGTGAAGCTATTATTTCCTTCTTAAGAACAATGAAGCCACCCCATGCCCAACTGAAGCTGCTAATCCAGCCAGCCCTATACTATCCACCTAAACAGGCTGTGGCTCTTCCTGATCAGACTATTGCCTCTTTTTAACAGGAGATACCAGGGTTGAAGTGGATCAGAGATGTTTGGCATGCAAAGTGTATGCTCCACTACTAATTTAAGGCTGTAATTCTGGGCTGGAAGAGGCAGACTTGTCATCCTCAAAGACAAGAAAGGATGGCAAGAAACAAGGCAGTGAAAGTAGGTAAGGGGTTGGCAGTGGTTCAGTTCTTGTGCCAGAGCTCAGAGTGCCGGGAAATTTGTGCCAGAACTCTGATTTCCAATAAACCCAACAGTTTTACAGCTCAATTAAAATTTATATAGATTTTTTTAAGCTGTCTAGATTGAGTTTGTCATTTTTAGAATATTTCTCTGTGAACCTAAGACAGTGCTCTAAATCTGTGCTTTCATCAGCAACTGCACCAATATGGCTATAAGACGTGTGGATACCGACACATGATTGTGGGGAAAATGCATGGGGAAAAAAGGGCAGGCAAACTTTTTTCTTATTCAATTGCAACACCTGTTCTTCAAGGAAGATCAATCAATGTTAGTTTTCCTGCCCCTTTTAATGTTCACAATAATAGAAGGAAGTTGGTTTTGCTGAGAGATGGGAAGCAGCCTATCATCATCTAGAGACTGAACTTCCAGGATGAATGGGGATCTGAATTGGGTTCCCGTAACATCATCACTTGGCCAGAAGCCATTGCAAAAGGACTGGAAGTGAGAAGTAGAAGAAGCAGAATTAACATATTTCTCTCACATTTCAAAAAAAGCAAAACATCCCCTCCCCCTGGTCTTAATTCTATTTAGTGGAATAAAAATATTAAATAAAATAAAAATGTTCAGCAACTAATTCCAATCTGTTTCTGGAATACAATTTCATAATCTCTAGAGAATAATCTTTTAAGAGTAATAAAAAAACATTCTGGAAAGCATAGTCAGAAAAAATTATTCTGAAAAAATTCAGTTTAGTGCTCTCTTGTAGAAAATAAGATGGTGGGGAGGCTAGTGAGAGAGATCTCAAATGTAACTACACAGAATTCCATACAACACAGCTCTTGCATAAGGCTATGAATATCTGTGTTGCCAGAATAAATTAAATTACCTGATCAGCTTATTTAGGTTAATTTGTTCCACTTACCAAATCCAGCACTTCAACAACCATTATTACTATTGTCAAAGACCTCTGGTGAAGAAGAAGCAGATTGCTAATATCCCTTACTGAAACTCAGCAGGAAACAAGCTATTTCTATTGCCAGTGCAGCCTAACACAGCCAAAATCATACCGACTGTATTGAAACAGAGGTATGTCTTGGTAACTTTGTAGGCAAACAAGAAGGCAAAAGGACAGGACAAACAAAACAAAAAAAAGGAGGGGGAGAATTTGCTTCTAACACAGAAGCTGTAAACCCACCTATATCAACACTATATAGAAAATATTACTACATTAAGTTTGTTCTTGGATGGCTTTTTCATTACTTCTACATTTGGCTATGTATGCGTGCATGTCTCAGTACTGTATAACATCTATTTTATATCCACATATCAAGCACAGTTAAACAGAAGGATAATTTGATGACAAGAAATTGTGCTTCTTTTTACTAAACATTTACTTTCCTATCTTGTGATGACCCAAGGGGCCTACTTTAACTAGCATAAGCGAAAGACCTATGTGGTGGTGGTGTGCATGCATGTGTATACAAACACTCCCACACATACATTTGACAGCCAGGGTGCCTCTTTGCAGACACTCTTGACACTGATCCCGGCTAGTCAATTTATTGCTTATGACCTACTCTAGATAGCATCCTTGTTCCAAAGAATGGAAGTACCCAGCCTCAGCCCTAAGAGGAAACCATATAACTCTCTTCAAATAGTTGAAAGATATGACACGGAGAAAGGAGCTCTTGCTCTAGAACAACATTTCTCAACTTTGGCAACTTTAATATGTGTGGACAAATGGGGAATTCTGGGAATTGAAGTCTACACATATTAAAGTTCCCAAGCTTGACCAACTCTGCTCTTAAAGGCAGGAATTAAAGCAAGAGGTATCAAGGCCAAGGAAGATTGCAGCAAAACATCAGGACAAACCTTTCTAGTGGCTAAGAACTGTTGGATAGTGAATTAACTTCTCTCAGAAGAAAGTGGGATTTCCTTTACTGAAGGTATTAAGTAGCCTGGAAGGCCAGCTATCAAAAAGAGCCACTACTGCACATTCATGCCACTGCATCTGAATGTATGCATGTGCACCTGCACATTTATGTGCAAACTAGATGACCTCAATAATTTGTTTCATTTTTAAATGTTACCATTCTTAAAATTGTGAAATAGATTGGAACTAAATGGCAAAATCTGGCTCAGCAAAATAGAGCTACCTGCTTTAAGACTCTCCAAGATTCAGCAGCTGGAGAAATTAATCTAACACTGCCCTGGCACCTGAGGTCTATAGTTTTAGAGTGTGGGCTATTTATATAAACTTTTTGGGAAAATCAAAAGAACTCTACTTTGCCCTGCAAATAAATCATATGGACTCGAATCTAATCCCACACCTTTGGCCCGGGCTGCCTTCCATGTAAAGGACAGCCCTTACTTCTAAACATGTGAAGAAAAAAACTCTCCATTCACTCTACAAGGGGGGGTGGAGGCAGGAATGGCTGGCTAAGCAAATGAGGACAACAGCAAAATCATATCCTGTGAAACTTAAGACAGTTATAATCATGACACAAAGTGCTTTGAAACCAAGCCCTTCAACTTTCTTCCTCTCTCTTCTCACACAAACAAAACTATACTCAACAAATTCCAAAATAAAGATATGTGAGCTGGTGCCTGGCTGGACAAGGTGGGGATCCACACTGAGGGTGCCACAATCCTGCAGTAGTTTTCTGGTATTACTTGAAACCACCCCACCCAATCTTTCTCCTGCCTCGCTTGTGCAGCCTGGCAGCTCTCAACCCAAAGCAATTAACAGTGTTTGGCGAGAAGTGCAGAGAGGCCACAGGCTAAGTGGTGCCTATGCTTTCTTCAGCTTGCTCTCCATCACCAGCTTCTCATTGAGCTGGCACAGCTGCTTCAAGAAGCCATCATTGGGGCCAATCTCCCGTTTCTGCCGGACGGCACTGACAGCACTTCTGACGTCCATGTTCTGCCGAAGCATGAGGTAAGCGATGACGAGGGTGGGAGAGCGGCTGTAGCCTTCACGGCAGTGGACAAACACTCTACCTAGTTGGCAAAAAAATAACAGACAGCTAAGTGGGAGCACAACGTTATGTCAAAGATATTCTGGCTACATAACAGAGATAAGCATACAATATAAACTTTAGGATAAAGATATGTGGATATGATTGTTGGTGGGAAGGCTGGGGGAGAATAGCAAATGTAATAACAGAGGACTTTAAGAGAATATACCATTCTCTCTTGCCTGCTGTCACTCCACTTTAAAGTGCTACCTCTACAGGGATACAAATAGACTTTCCCCTGTTTTCAACAACCTTCCCCAACCTAGGCATCCCTTAGATCACAGGTCGGCAACCTGCAGCTCCGGAGCCGCATGCAGCTCTTTGAGCCTTCCCCTGTGGCTCCCAGCCTCCTCTGCCATTTGCAGACAGAGACAGAGACAGAGAGAGGCACTTGCGTTTCCCTGCTTCTCTCTCTCTCTCTCTCTCTCTCTGTGTGTGTGTGTGTGTGTGTGTGTGTGTAAAAGAGAGTGTATTCACAGTGTTCTCCGAGGAGCTGAAAAGCTTATTGGGTGGAGCTCCTCCCTTTGCTGCGTCTCAGCAGGAAGCAGGAAGGGCAGGAGAGAGCTAGCTAGCCCAGCTATGCTGATTCAGGAATTCTGGGAGTTGAAGTCTATGAATCATAAAAGAGCCGAGGTTGCTTACCCAAGCTTGTTGGAGAACAGCTTGAAGCCAGTTTGCCAGGTGAGCAGCAGATAGGAGAGAGGGAGAGAGGGGGGAGAGAAAGAGAGAGAGAGAAAGAAAGAGGGGGGGAAGGAGAGAGAGAGAGAGAGAGGAAAGAGAGAGAGAAAGAAAGAGTGGGGGAAGAGGACTGGCAGACCAAGGGCAGATAGAGAGGGAGGGAGAGAGAGAGAGGGAGACAGAGAGAGACCCTTTTGACATCTAAAATGAAGATAACACTGCATATATCCTTTTTTACCTGTGTGTGAATGTATACACACACACACACACAAACACACACACACACACACACACACACACACACACACACACACACACCTATATTAAAGGTAAAAAAGGATATATGCAGTGTTATCTTCATTTTAGATATCAAAAGGGTTTTGCGGCTCCCGGTGTTTTGTTTTCGGTGGAAAACGGGTCCAAGTGGCTCTTTGAGTGTTTTGGGTTGCCTACCCCTGCCTTAGATCATGGGTGGCAAACTCACTGCATCACATGATGTGTCATGACTTTTTTCGCGTTGCCGAAGCTAGGGTGTGTGTGTAAGTTGTAATAGCCAATGTGGATAAACACATTCTTAGTATAGTTCTTAACATTTATGTGTTGTTTGTTTAATTGTTTAGGCTTTACTGAAAAAGAGAACCAGAAAGCAAAAATGACACAGAGACCACTACCACTATTGCACTAACCTAAACTTGTTTTTTCATATAAGAAAAATGTTAAGTCTTGACTAATGTACTATCTTCCAGGTGTGCTGAATCCTAGTTGCCAACATATTCATCCATCATGAAGAATGGAATGGAATGGAATGGAATGGAACAGAACAGAATAGAATAGAATAGAATAGAATAGAATAGAATAGAATAGAATAAACAGAGTTGGAAGGGACCTTGGAGGTCTTCTAGTCCAACCCCCATGGCCATCAGCTACTAGTTCAGGATGATGGAAGTTGTGAGGCAAATACGAAATGTGTTCTAATACTGTTAAGGGCAGTTGTTACTTGTCCAGATAGTCCAGCTGAATTTTCTTTTTAACAAAATATAATATAAAAATAGAGAAGGAAGGGATGGTGGGAAGGTAGGAGTCAGAAAGAAGATAAATATGGACCATTCTCAGAGGTAAGAGAAAAAAAGTAATAAATGTACAACACATGAACCAGAAATAAACACATGTTGGGATAGAAGAAGAAAAAAGAATTCCCCCCTCTTTAGCATTTCCAATAATGAAACCCCGTTGGAGTCTGTTCTGAACAAATAGCAAATCTGTTTATTGTTCCAGATTACTGGACATTATTTGACTACCCAATATCTGAGAAATCCCATTTAGCTGCCATCTCTTGTTTTTGCTTTAATTCTAAGATTAAAGCACTACAAATTCCCAAAGGAGCATAGAAAGGACTTCCATTTCATGCAAGGATGCATTTCTAAATACCAAATTCCCTTCTTTCCATCTAAACTGATTAGGGACAGGCCCTTGCAATTTTCTGAGTCAGTTCCCTTTGGTGCTTTTGCTTCCTGTAAAAAACTCTGTTCTCTCCTAACTGCCAAAATAGAAAATGGAAAAATGCCATTTTGCTCTTTTTGGCTACCCCATAGCAAATATTAGATGACACAATTAGCTACCCCACATGCAAATATTACATGACACAATTAGACAATTCCTTTTATTTCTATAAACCTTCTCTTTTTTGTCTCTCCTAGCTCTTAGGTTCAAAACAAGATGCTGATTACCATCGAGTGTAGCTATCCTTCCAATATAAAACTTTGCCCAGAGGGGAAAAGCTGTAATTTCTCCTACCATTTTCTTTTCCAGTATCAGCACTGTTATACTTTCACCCCAGGTTTCCCCCAACTTTTCAGCCTAACAAAAATCCTTTCATATCAACTGATCACTTTAATGGCCCAGGAGAAGTTTATCAGGGTTGTGTATGAATAAGCGAATATGAGTGGTGAACAGATTGTGTTCATGTGTGTATGTATATAAGCATGCATGCTTTAGTTCCATATACACCATTACTATACAGTCAAGTAGATTTATCAAAAGAAAATCAACCCAGTGTAGGCCTAATAACTGCCTCGGGGAGCTGGATCTTGCTTATTCACGAAACAGCTTATTCAATTCCTTGGCTAATCAGAGAATAAAAGTCAGGTGGCATCAATTGAGATGGCATTGCCCTATTATTCAAGTGATATCTCTGTGATGCAATGTTCAGAGATAACCACACAACTTCAACATCCACTAATAGCTTCTGCAGGACACAAGTATTTTTTAGATTTAAATAAATGGCGAAAATTATCATACAATATTGCCAGTCTTGTGAGTTTTCATGATCTCTTTTGAAATCTTCAAACAAAAGTTTAGGAGTGAAATTAGCAAAATTTGGGCCATTTAAAAAATACACATTTTTACATGCCCATACCTTCATGAGCCATCTAATGATGGAGCATGGAAATGTTATTTCCTCATGAGATCCCACCAAAGGTTGCAATACCTGATCTCAGTGTAACTTTGGTTCAATTCTACAAGAGGGAATGAATCCAGATCAACCCCAACAATAGGTGCAAACCAGACTATCATTCATCTTTCTCATCCCTGTTTTTCCAGGCCCAAAATTCTATTATGGAGAAATCCACAGCAATTACTTCAGATGGAGAAAAGACATAAAAAGCTAAGGAAAAATGCAAAGTCTGACGTTTACAGTATTTTCTTTCCCTTTGTCGTCCCTGTATAACAGCTCAAACTCACAGCCAACTGCAAGTGATCAGTAAGCAGACAAATGATACTTTTTCTGCAGTGATAACTGGATATAATTTACACATTTCTCATTTACATCTCCCACACTTCTCCTCTCTTAAACTCTTAATATTTCAACACATTCTTCCATCTTCTCCTCTAGCTCCCAAAAGATTGCAAAAGTTCAGTGAATCCAGGACAAGAAAACGTTGTTGGCAATGTTGTGCCCTCAGGGACCATTATACCTCAAACATTTTTTTTACTGCACCTCAAGGCCTTTTGATTTTTGGCAATGGCTGTTCTATTGCTGCCCATTCCACTTTTGGTGGCCATTTAATGAACAGGCATGTCTCCAATAGGAGTAATTTTGTTCTTCAATGTTGCTAAAATTCAAAATTTGTCCCTGAGTCAAAAAGGTTGTTGAATTCTACATTAAGAGATCTGTCTATCTTCCATATTTCCACCCCTCCAAACCACTTATATCAAACATTTACATTAAAAAAATGCCTTTGTAATGGATGGCCAGAGAACTTACAGAGGAAGCTGGGATCAAACAGAAAAATATAGGATAGTTCTAAGAAACTGCAGAATTATATGGTATAAAAGAAAAGGAAGGAGATACTGATAGTATAGTGATAATCCTTGACTTATAACAATTCGTTTAGTGACTGTTCAAAATTATGGCACTGAAAAAAGTCACTTATGACCATTTTTCATATTTACAACTACTGCAACATCTCCTTGGTCATATGATCAAAATCCATATGCCTGGCAACCCGCATGTATTTATGATGGTTCCAGTGTCCAAGATTTATGTGATCATTTTTGTGCAGCCTTCTGAGAAGCAAAGTCAACGGGGCAGCCAGATTTATTTAACAATTGTGGCCAGAAAATGGGACAAAATCCCATTGTCACAAAATGGGACAAAATCCATTTATCAATTCAATTGGGCTCAATTGTGGTCGTATGTTGAGGACTATCTGTATATACACACATACATAAAGGCTTCAAGTCAATTATTAAATGACAACTCCTGAAGAAATCAACTCCTGATTTCTCCTGCCAGTTGAGAAGGAGAGCAGGGGCAGGAAATATTTAATTATTATCAATGCAGCTATTTTCTTCTCTTTACTATTTCCCATCTTGCTGCCATGCAATCTCTCAATGAATTGGAGCGATTAACTCTGGCAATACTTTAAATACTAAGAAACAATGGCTGGGCACACAGATCTTTGCCTCAATTTGCTACAAAATGATAATTGAATAATTCATGCAACAATTTAAACCAAGTGTGAACTAGATCAAAGATAAGAAATTGTATCCAAGCCACTAAGCAAGAAAACAATTTGGCCATGCTACATGGAAATCCATTTGGACATAGATGTCTTACCATCTTTCTGTGCTAATGCCGCATCAATAAATTCAGCAGCTTCTTCAAAATAACGGCTGAGGTTGAACTCCTGGGTGTCATTGGCCTTGATGCCATGGTAGATGATACCAGTTCCTTCATAAAATTCAGCATTTGTGTTCACATGCATAAAAGACTTGCCTTCTGCAGCATTGAGGACATGAGTGATACCCAGGCGTTGTAAGCGCATGACATTTTTGGCTATGAACCTATAAGAGCATTATAAAGAAGAACATTCAGAGGGAAGAAATGAGCTCCGAAATCTAGAAAAGAAAAGATGGAATTGGCAACAAAATATTATGGTCTAAAATATTCCTGTTCAGGATATTCCATTCTATGCCTGCTGCATCTCAATTTTCTTACCAAGAGCCAACATTTCTTAGCTACAAAGCACTTATATATGACAAGGATATTGTTTTAAGAAAAATGAGTTTTCCACTTTTATGGCTTTTAGCAAAATAATTTAAATATATTTTTACAAATATCAAGCCCAAAAGTTTGTCCAAGCCTAAAATTCATTAACAAATATCTGCTTCTATTTGTTTCATATGTGGCACAAAAAATAACAATTAACATTTTTTTTTTATTCAGAAAAAATCAACTGTAATCTTGGCCAGGTGAGGTTTTGTGAGAGACTAAGGGCAAAAGTAAAAATTCACTCAAATATATCATTCAATATTCCACTGCCAGAGTTTTGCCTCTTGATCAACAGCTCCAGAAATTTGTTTTTAAGAAGGATCCACAGCCTTAAAAGTTTGAAAATCCCTGGTGTAGGCTTGAAATATGTTATTTAAGAAAAAAAAGCAAAAATGAAGTTCCCTATTTGAACAATTCCCAAATCCATTCTACTTTCACCACCTGTAGTTTTAAGTGCAGCTCCAAGCTCTGTAACTCCAAGCTGTCTTAACTTCAATTCAAACCACCTCCCTGGCTGTTAATTTATTTTGCTTTTTAATTATGTATATGCTGTATTTTTAGCTTCCCTTCAGTGTAAATGTATTTAAAAAGCAATTTATACTGGCATTTTATATCAGCATAAAGTCGTAACATTAAAGGAATGAGCTGAAATGAGGTATTTTTGGTAGCCACGTATGTTTATAAGCTCCCTCTCTCCCATAGGCCTTGGCAAAGGTCCCCAACACTGCACATTGCTTCCGATGCAGGAAAGCTATTTAAAACCTGCTAAACGGCCGAATTAAGAACAAGAAAGTATTTCCCCTTGTGAACAATTATTTCTTTTTTGTTATTTAAACCCTTACAAAGAACATACTTTTTTTAACTTATCCTCTTTCTAAACAGGTTTGCTGAATTAAAATTTACGCAGGTTCATAATCTAGTACAGGGGTCCCCAACCCCCAGTCCATGGACCGGCACCGGGCCACAGCATACCAGAAACTGGGCAGTGCAAACAAGCAAAACTGCATCTGGGGGATGCAGGCAGTACACAGCTATGAAATCCTGAACCTGAAGCCTGAAACACTAATTATTAAGTTTGCTAGTAAGATTTATAACAAAACAGCATTTGAACTTCATGCCATTATCTAACCACTAACAGCAAGCACACATTTTGGATAGCTATATGAATAAATAGCATACATTTTTGTCACCTCTGCTTTCATTTTATGTTTATGTTGCTTTTAAACATTATGCAACACAATTATGGATGAAATAACCAGCAGAAAGATTTTCTCTTCTCCTTCAACTGTATTTCGCATAAACACATTATTTTGCTGTTGGCAGGTCTATATCTTACATAATATAATATAAAACACTGGATTAATTCTGGATATTTTTTTCAGACAGTACTGGACCAAGTTAAAGTTTGCCCAATTTACAGTTTACAACTCAAACTATAACTCATGCTTTTAATCTCCACATATATAAACAAACCATAATCTACAACTCAATGAATTCAATAAGGCATTTCCAAGAAGACTAATTCTCTGGGTTTAGGATTACAATGTTAACAACTACCTGTTTAAAATAATATCCCTATTCTTCAATCTGAAAACTTCTAGAGGTCATAATTTTGTGACAAAAATTAATGCAGCAAAATATTTCCACTAGTATTTAAGAAACTCTGCTTGTATAGTTGCCTATCTCAGGGCTTTTCAATTGGTGGTACACGTGCTACCTTTGGTACATTGGCACCTGGCAGGTGGTATGCGACCCTTTCTAGCCTAGACAAGTGTAGCAGGGAGGGAGGGAACAAGCTAAGGCAGTGCAGCACAGGGCTTGCCATGAGAGAGTCAACAAGAGCTGCAGGACTGCTGGGGCGAGACAGAGGCCCAGAATCGACACTTCTGGCATACCCAGAAGAGAAAGGAGGAGAAGCGCAGAGACAGGAGAGGATATAAAAGGAGGCAGTTTGGCGGCAGAGGGAGAGAAAAAAGACGCCAGAGAAAAAGTCAGAAGAGAAAAGGCTTTTGTTAAGAGAAGCAGTGAGGAGAAAGAGAGAGAGGGAAAGCTTTTGGGGAGAAGTGTGTAAGAAAGATGGAAGGCTTTTGGGGAGAAGCGTGTGAGAAAGACAGGGAAGGCTTTTGGGGAGAAGTGTGTGTGAGCGAGAAAGGGAAGGCTTTTGGGGAGAAGTGTGTGTGAGCAAGAGAGGGAAGACTTTTGGGGAGAAGTGTGTGTGAGCAAGAGAGGAAGGCTTATTCTGGGTAAATATACTTTCATCTGATGCTGGAAAAAAAAAAATAGAAATCCCAGGTCTGATGACAAGGAACCAACTCCTCTTATAACCATGGCATTTGCGGTTCAGCAAATGAATTTGGGACTGGACATTCCATTACATACTCAAGTTCCAGCTATACAGGGCTTTAGTGGCAAATACAACATGGTGGTGGAATTCAACTGGCTTGTACCTCCTCATACCACTGCCCCATTCAACATCAGTCCAGAGCAATGGCTGGAATGGAGGTTTGATAGTTCCAAAATCACACCAAATTACAATTTACTTTCCATTAACTATTTAAGACACCAAGCAGCCTACCTATAGATGCTAAAATTTAGGATTAGGAACTCATGAGAAGGAAAATATGACAGATGCCTCTGCCTGCTGCCTTTCCTCAAGGGAAGATGTAGATTCTTGCCTGCTCTAAATATGGAGTTTTGCTTAGCAAGACTTGTCAACAGCAGGTGTTATAATTTCTGCAGTGTAATGAGTGGTGTCAGTGTGTTTAGTTTATGCTTTTTGTGCTTTTAATCTTTGTACACTACCTAGAGTCACCTATATGAGATGGGTGGCCAAATCATATAAATTAAGTAAATTATTTACTCTGCCCCTTAAATCAATGCTATTCTCTGCAGAAGACTACTGCAAAAATAAGACTGACTCCCACAAATTAAAATAACAGAAATCTTTTGATTTGACTGGTTAGAAAATAGCCATTTTGCAGGGAGCAAGAAATTAGCAAGATTATTGAAATGATCAGAACAGAATGTTTAGAAAATAAATATATTAACCGCATATACCAGTTAATAAGACTGAAACAAAGCATTCTAAAGCAGGTTGGATTACAAGCCTAGTTAACTACATGTGTGATAATGGCTGGTTGAGGCTGATGGAAACTAGATGCAACACAATCTGGATAGCTACTTTTACACTGAAAATAATTTCATAAAAATAACTCCTATCCTTCACTATATCTGTTCTCTGTCCCAAGTACAGCCAGCTAAAGTGTTGGTGCCAAAGCCTGGGCTCGGGTGTACATACTATATATAATGTTTTACTTTGCTCTTCTTCAACAAAGCTCTGGGAAGCAGACATGATGATTCTCCCTTCTTCCACCAATTTTATTTTCAGATACAAAACAAAACTTTGCTTATGGGCTTCCAGGAATTCACCAGATTCTACCTTTTCTGACCACTAGTAAGAAGGAGCAGGATACAGCAATTTTGCTAAAGTAAGTCTAATGATGATTGTAAGAAAGCCATCTAGGATCCTTTATGTAGGCTGAATTCTTGTGCAGCTGCTGTGAATGTAATAAAAAAAAAAATCCACCAACCTCATAATGGCTGATGATAATCTCAGTCTTGGAGATAACCTCCTCACTTGTCGAAGTTATCTTTAATTATTATCTGCATTACTGAAAACCTACAGGTTTAAATTCAAAAGTTCATTTAAACCACATAGCCATGCAGCTCTCAGAAGCCACAACAGAATAGAGAATCCTGAGGCCTTCTAAACATTGCTGAACCCACAATTTCCAGCAAACCTACCATCACTGGCACTGTTGGTCAAGCAGCAGGGAGCTGAAGTTCAGAAGTACAGTACCTGGTTTCCATCTAATGACTGTAAGAACTGAAGATAAAGTACATTTTGCTTTGGCATTTCTCTTTATAGAAGGTTCCCCTATTATCTGAATTCAGTTAAACACTTCCCACAGCCTGCACCGCTTGTGAGCCTAGCACTTTATCCTGTTGTCATAGCAACCGTTCCCAAGATTTCCTCTTCTCACTATCTCAGCATCTGCACTATCTAGCAAGATTCTTTTCCCAAGCTAACAGTAAAAATAATTTGTTTCCTACTTCAGCATACCACTGATAACATGGACACTAAACTTCCACATGGGCTTTTTTTGTGGTTATGTTATTTCTCCTTCCTTAAAAAAAAAACGTTTTCATTATTAAATCAACAAATGGGCAATCCTGTAGATATTCCAGATTTTATTTCTTATAACCTCCAGCCAGAATGGTAGTTGACTATATTAGTTGAGAATTACAATATGGAAATTTGAGTTCAACACACTTAGAACAAGCCAGGTAAATGTGGATGATGTACCTGTTATATAAGGCAGGTATAGAAGACTTATATTCATAAAGACAAAAATTATTCTTATTCTATATTCTTAATCTATAACAATGTTCACTGAAATTCACAAAAGGAACAGATATGCACCGGCTGGTGACTTAAAATTTGAAAAATCACTTATTTTTTTTAACAAACTCTTTTCCAAACTGGTGTGCAATCTGTTGGACAAATCCTTTTCACAAGTCCTAGCCAACGTATGTGGAAGATACCTTGCTTGGAAGACTGCTACTATATACTATAGATAAGGAGTTTCTTCTTGCTAACACTATAGTTGAATTGATATAAATAGACATTTACATAGAGACTACTCCATTACATATCCATATTTATAAGCCGTCTAAACAAAACTATGGTCAGTAGAATATGAGACATTGGGAGACAATATATTTGGATTTA